CTCTTTTATTGTTCGTGCCCTTTTTTTTTCTTGGGTCTTTTTGTTTTGTTGTGTACGTGCCTGTTTTTTTTTTTTTTTTCAAGTGCCGGTAGCGTGCGGGGTTGATTTCGTGTGTGCTGATGGTTTGGTCATGTGAGTTTTTTCTTTTTTCTTTTTTCTCTTTTTGACGTGCCGGTAACTTGAGACGTTGATTTCGTGTGTGCTGATGGTTTGGGCAATGTGAGGTGTGGCGTTTTTCTTTTTTTGCTTTCCACGTTCCGGCAACAACTGTGAGGGGCTTTTTTTCGTGCGTGCTGATGGTTCGGGGCTATAGAGGAATAATGCGAGTTTTTTAGATGTACCGGTGACGTGGGGTGTTGGTTGGTTTGGGCATGACGTTGGTTGGTTTGGGCGTGAGGTAAGGGTGTTGTTGTCTTCGCATTAACGACCCTTCCGCTCTCCCCTCTATACCTGAAGCAAAGTGGGCTCCTTTGAGAGCACAAGTGTCATGCAAGGGGTGATGGAATATCCAAGTATTTAGAAGCAGGCAGCTTGGCCAGACCACAGCTGGTGTCTCGTAGGTCAACGTCTGATCCGTTGACGTCAGAACAGCGCCCGCTCGTGACGTTTCGCTTATTGTTTGTTGAACCTCGTTTCGAAGCGCGATCCTGTGTTCTTTCTTTCTCTCTGTGGGCATCGATTTTTTCTGTAGCACCAGGTGGACGGCATACACTCGAGTATAGTTTGTTTATTTTTGTTGGGGCTCTTCTCCAAGCGTTCTGCGTAAGGCTGCCAACGCCGACGCTACCTTAGTTTCCGTGTGCTCTCCCAGCGGCTGCCGACTACATTCTGTTGTGCCAGGTGAACAGCATACCCTCGTGTGTGTTGTTCTCCCTAACATGAAGACCTGGTCAAAGCGGAAGAGAAGTATCAAACGAAGTATCAAAACCTCGCTAATGCAGAAGAATATCAAAATTTATTAATTATGTGGCGCTGCCGACGGCGACGCCGCTGTTCTTCCTCTCTTGGTCCGGCGATTTTTCTTGTGTGGTGCAAGGTGTACCAAGGCGACTCCGCTCAGGAGGGCCACGGTGGAAGGGAGGACGAGTCCGACAAAGAACGCGCAAAACAGTGAGTCCAACGCTTACCCAGTAGTGTACGCAGTTTTTTCTCAGTAAGCAATTATACTGGATAAAGTATCGAATGGGCTGAGTTGGGGTTTGGTCTATTTCCGCAGTGTACTTTCTTTTTTTGCGTAGGCAGTCAGTAAGTCTACGCAGTATTTTCTTTTTAAGTAAGCAAACACATGTCGAATCGGCTACGTTGGGGTTTGGCCTATTGTCGTCGTAAACTTACTTTCTCTGCGTGGACCAGAAGCTGTGGGTTCGGTCGCTTTTTCTTAATTTGTTTTTTGTCCGTCACGGTGTTGGTTCCGAAAACACCACGTGGAATTCGGAAAAAATTATGTATTCCGCCTGCTGAGTGGTTGACTACGGCTGATACGGGAACATACACAAAATACAGACATGTGAAAACTCCTATTGACGGCGTCGAATCATTTTCTTTTTTGGGTGTTTCTTCCACGGATACGGGTCCGGGATAGAGTAGCAATGAATTCCCAGCGTTCTAGATGACCGGTCTGTATTTGTGCGGTTCGTCTACGTTCCTTTACGAAGCTCTTCGATTTGTTGTTCCGAAAATTCATTTGTTGACCCGCCTGAGTGACTGACCACGACTCTTGTTCACCGTGTCGGGCAAAAATACAATATGGTTGGCTTCGTGAGCACTTTTGTTGTTATGCCTCTCTTCAAGAGCACAAGCGAACCCATCTCTTCCGCACCTGTGGGTTGGAATGCGATGATGGTCCATCTCCACCTCCACTGGTTGCTTGCGCAGGCTCCTGGTTTCCCTCGGGATCGCCGACAAGACCGACGACTACACAAAGAACGTCAAGACGTACATGGTTGGCCTCATGAGGTGAGCCAGAGAGTCATTTTGTGTCGCCCGTCACTCCTTTGTTGCTTCTCTTGCCCCGTGGTTGCATGCGTGAGAAACCGTGCGTCGGCCTTGTGAGGGTCTTTGCTTGTTGTCACTCACTCCTTTTTTTTCTTTTTTCTCTCCCTCCATAATGTTTTGTTCCATACGTGAGATACCGTACGTCGCCCTATGAGGTGAGTGGGGGGGGCTTTGCGTGTTGTCGTCAACTCGCACCTTTGTCTTTGTCTCCTCCTCCGTGGTTGCATGCGTATGATAACACACCCCCTCGGACCGATTTTCAAGGTTCGATCGCCTCGTGACGAGGATATGCCAAAAGCAATGGGGATACGTTGTCGAGATATACTTGTCTCGACGACACGGTTCGAACGCGCTCATTTCTACACCTTCACTGCTGTTTTCGCTGCAGAGTAGTCAAGCTTTGGTCATCGATCCAGCAGGGTGGCGCAATGTCCCACGCATGCGACCTGCACTACCCGAGTTATATTTTAGCACCGTCGGTGCTCGACCATCTTACAGACTATCCCGTCCCGACACCCAAAGGGGGCCACACAGAATGAACGAGTTTTTCCAACCGATACCCCCACAGTTATCTACACCTGTCGGGGCGCTGTTTCTGTCCCTGCGGTGCTGTCCGCTCTACACTTGACTATCGGCATCGACATCTAAGGGGGCCACTCGGAATTAGCGATTCATTCCAACCATTTCCGCGTCCCCCAGCCGTCTGCGCGTGCCGCTTGTGATAAAATTCCTGCGGTCCTGTCCGTTCTATATTCGACGGTCTGTCTCGAGGCGTAAGGGGGCCACGCAGAATGAAGGATCCATACTCCCGCCGTCCATTTACCCCTATGGGGGCGCGGTTGCTCTTCCTGCGGCCCTGTCCGCTTTGTATGTGTGGACAGCCCGTGCTCCAATTAGGGGGGCAAGAATATCGATCGGTTCCTCCCCGCGCCCGGCCGTCTACACCAACATGGATTTCGGCTCAATTTTTTTTCAGACGGGATTCTGCTTCATTCCAATATCCTCCCTAACTCCGAAAGTGATGACAAGTATGTAACATTCCTCTTCTTTTTCATGCCTCCAAACACGGTGTGAAGCGTCGCGGTACACTCCAACTTTGCGTAGTCTCACGCCCCCCTCCCCCACAAGAACGTTTTTGCCCTTCAATAACCTCATGTCATGGCTCACTAGGACATATCAGCGTATGCTGTCTCACTCCCCCGGCGCCCCCACAACAACTATTTTGCCATTCAATGGCCTCATTTCATGGCCCACAAAGACATACTTCCTCTGCATCATAAGTCTGGGCCGTTATGGGCGCTCAGTCGTTGAGGTACTTAAACGTTGACGTTTAGCCTTTGACCGGGTGCGTTAGAAAGGCAAAGAGCATACGAAGCTAACCCTAAAAAATACAAAAAAAATCGAAGACCGTGTTACATACTAAAATTAGGTCAATATGCCCATTTTGGCCGTATTTCGGTATAAATTATTGAGAAGTATTTTGAGAATTTTACGATTTCGCAGTAGAACACACCGGGGTCAGAATGCGGTAGAGGGAAGGGATGTTGGAGAGGGTGGTAAAATACGATAAGGAGGCTTTTGAGAAGGCTTACGCCTGGATGGCATCGAGTCCCAGCGACAGCGAGGACGACTAATCGAGTTTTTCCCTTTCTTTGCCCCTGACAGCAACAGACACTTTTTTTACCTCGCAAGTGTCTTGGTTTTAGTGTGGGAACTCCATGTGTCTTGGTTTTAATGTGGAAACAAAATTGTCTTGGTTTTTGTGTGGGGTCACGATTATAATTGGCGGACGCGGCACGTATCGTTGAGTAGGAGGGGGGGGTTGGGTTCGGGCACTACTGTTGTTTGTTGCCCCGCAAGTGTCCCGTTTCTTGTGTGGGGCCTCCAAAGTGTCTTGGTTTTAGTGTGGAACTCCCAAGTGTCTTGATTTGAGTGGGGGGGGTCACTATTATATATGGGGGGCGCGTTTGGCTGATGGAGTATAGGAGGGGGGTTATGTTTGGGGTGGGGATAATTCTTGAGTTTTTGGGGGCGGGACAGGCGTTTAGCCCCACCCACCCCCTACCTGGAAAAGGGCAACAAATGGCCGTTTTTAGGCCAACTCAATGTTTTCCGACCGTTCAGCCGCATGGTTCAAGCACCAACTAAAAAAAAAGAAAAAGTTTTTCTTGCTAAAAAAACGCCGGAGAATTCAACGAAAAAATCAGAAAACAGATCGGACACCGTTAAGGGGGCGCAAAAACGTAACGGCACAGACTTATGATACAGAGGAAGTATCAGCGTATGTTGTCTCACCCCACACCCCGTCCGCACACCCCGCCCCCCAACAACTATAATAACGGTTTTGTCTTAGGACATACCTGAGGCACTTCGAGAACGTGTGTCGCCTTCTGGAAGAGCGAGGTGTTTCCCGGGAGATTCTGAGGCAGGAGGTTCACAGGTACGCTACTGCTGTTGATCACGCTTGTCCCTCCTTCATGTTTACCTTCGGCCACGTTTTTGGTGGGTGGTGTTTGTTGTCCTCGATGCTGTTGGTAGAGGTGCTTGCAACAGAATACTTTTCGTTCATGTTTACCGTCGGCAACGTTTTTCGTGGGTGGTGTTTGTTGTTCTGGACGCTGTTGTTCGAAGTGCCCGTCTCCATTCCTCCTCTGGCGGCATTCCTTCCTTACACCTACCCCCGTGCAATATCACCGATCTCCATGCGTTCTTTCGCATCCTTACGGTACAGTCGTAGGCCCTCAATATGGCGGGTATGCGCCAGACCGATTCAGCCGCGCTGTACAGGGCTCTCGCACCATTCGATATATTGACCGTCTTGAATATTCCATCTGTGCCAGCCAATTTTCACCCGCCCGATGGCGGGCGCCCGCGTTGTATATCCGGCCTTATAGAGGGCCTACGGCGGTACTCCGGACATCATTATTTTGGTGGTGGTGTTTGTTGTTCTCGATGCTGTTGTTCTGTTCGAAGTGCTCGTCTCCATTCCTCCTCTGGCCGTATCCCTTGGTTACCGTTCCCTTACCGTGATGCAGGCAACCCCAGCTGCGCACCAGGAGCTCACCCCGTGCCCACGTGAACCTCTCCCTCAGGGACATGGCGCAACAGGTGCGTTGCACATAGATGTTTGTTATCGTTGTTGTTGTTGTCGTTGTTGCTGCTGCTGCTGCTCTTGTTGCCGCTGTTGTTGTTGCTGCTGCTGCTGCTGCTGCTGCTGCTGCTGTTGTTGTTGTTGTTGTTGTTGTTTATGTTGTTGTTGTCGAATTTCGCCCACGTTTTGCTGTTGTTGTGGAGGCGATCGTTGTTGTTGTTGTTGCTCCTGTTGGCCCATACACACACACACCCGGCGACTCCGGTCCTCGCAGACACCGGCAGCCCATAAGCAGCAAAGATTTGGGTAAGCGGCCCCATATTTGGGGATACTCCGCACGCAATACTGATCTACGGAGACACTGGGGACTACGTGGATGCGTATGTTTGGTCATGAGGCGGTTGGGAGACTACACCTCCCCCGGGAGGGCTGCATGCTCTTTCTCGCTGCTCCCACTCTCTCTTTCGAACTATAGAGGTCCCTGTTGAAGTGCCGGTATGTGCCCAGAAAAATTACAGGCACTATTCAAAGTACTGACAATGACTTGGAAATTCAGTGTGTGCCCGCCGAGAACAACGGCACTATACCGGGCACTGGCAGTATTCAACCGGCACTAAAGGGGACCTCTACAGTATTGCTCTATGTACATGGTCGGTGTTGTGCAGCGGTTAGTGTCATAGGAAAAAAATATTCTGAGGTATGAAGGATGGGTTCGGTGCTGCAGGGGTCAGTCTCAGAGGGAGCATGGGGAAAGAAGGTCGACTGAAGACTGAGAGACCAACAAGTGACGACGGCGGCACGTAAGCGCTTCCGGGGGGGGGGGGGGGGGTCCCGCCGTATCATATACCTACTCCAGAGTCCCCTGTAGGTGAGGAGGTATCGTGTACCTACCCATACAATCGTGCCGTCATGGCTGCGATTGCGTGTGTCGCTATATCTACGATTATCGGGATCGGTAAACAGATAGCCGAGAAACGAACCTCTGAGTGGAAATGCACTGGATCGACCCCACTCCGACACCCTTCAGCGTTTCGCCAATGACGGGCCTTGTGGGCTTCTACCGGTCTTTGAGGGTCTCAATTGTGTATCTGCATCCGTCCATCCGCCCATCCCTTTCTCTTGTGTCCCTCGCTCGACCGACCGATGGTGTATTTCCCGGAACTTTTTCCTGAGCTGTGCTGGATCGAACCTACTCCGAAACCGTTCAGTACGGCACCGGACTTCGTTTCATTGTAACGGTGGCCTCTCTCTTCCGTATCGCCACCCTCGGCGTATATGCCGGTACTTTTTGCTGAACTATGCCGGATCGAACCTACTCCGACACCGTTCAGTACGGCACGGGGGTTCTTTTTCGCAGCGGCACTGAAGAACTGCTGTGTGTGCTGAAATGTTCATCACGGTGTGCTGGTGTCTTTGATCCATCTTGTGGTGGGCCGCCAGTTGCTTGTAGAAACACGAAATGAATTTGAAACGAATCCGTCCGTCCTCTCTGTCTGTGTGATGGTATCCTCGCATGTATACCTTGATATTAGCTCTCCACCGACCGGGACTTCTACGTGCAAGGGAACGACGGCCAGCAGACGAGCCTTTTCCGCGAGTATCAGGCAAGTGGAGTTCTACAGCACACCTATGCATATAACGCGCTATTTGGTACGTTGGTCCCAAAGGCAATCGTATATTGCACACGTACGTACAACGCCTTGTTGTGTTGTGGTCATCGCCTTGTTGTGTTTTAGTCCCAGGCAAGTGGTATTGCATACTTACACCGCCTGTATTTTTGTCCCAGGCAAGTGGTATAGCGTAGTTTCCAACGTGTTGTAGTGTGTTCGTCCCAGTCAAGTGGTATTGCATACTTTCCGCGCTAGTGAGTATATTTGCCAAAGGTGCCAATCCTGACATGTTCCCGTTGGGTTTCCAGTTGTTTTTCTTGCTAAGAACGCAAGTCCTCTACAACTGATAGTCTCAACAGATTAGCAATGAAGAAAAAGCGTTCTGCCTCAAGGCAGTGTTCCCGTTGGGTAACACTACAACTTCGTCTCCTCCACAAATGGCACACACCCTGTAAACTATAACAACAACTAATAAGTTATTTGTTTGCCAGACAACTACCGGCTAGTTGTTCGTAAATGACTAGTTACGCACGAGCCTGGAAGGTTAGTCGCCTGCAGGCGACTAGTTGCGTGCGATTCTCGAAGCATAGTTGTCTGGCAAACAACTACCAACTAACGTAGTTGTACAGGGCGTGAAAATGACAGGCTGCCGAAGACATGCAGTGAATGATTCACAGCATCTGCCTCTCTGTTATGTTCCCGTTTGGGGTTTCCAGGTGCACACACAATACTACGAACAGGACGAGTTCATCTACTCCACAACAGATAGTCTCAACAGATCAGCAAATGAAATCATAGCGTTCTCCCTCTGCAGTGTTCCCGTTGGGTAGCGCTACAACTTCGTCTCCTCCACAAATGACAGGCTGCCAAAGACATGCAGTGAATGATTCACAACATCTACGTCTCTACTATGTTCCCATTTGGGGTTTTCAGCTACACACACACAACTACGAACACGAAAAGTTGATCCACTCCACAGCAGATAAGTCTCAAGAGATGAGCAAATGAAATCATGGCGTTCTGCCCCTCCGTTATGTTCCCGTTGGCGTTTCCAGGTGCTGGAGGAGGCGTTGCATGTAACTGCCGGCTCCGGCACCGGGGTCGCCGCCGGGGGAAACCCCGCGTACGTGCTGTCCCGCCTGAGCGTACTGTCCGAGGACGACTTCATGTCCGCCTTCGACTACGCTGGGGGAGGCGGGTGAGGAAGATTTCTAGCAAAACGTTCGTGTGAGAATTCTCTGAAATTTCCAAGGGTTTACTCGGTATCGGTTTTCTAGGCGGACAGGTTTTCGGCGGTTGTGCCATTTTGGCGGTAATTGTATTGGCGGTAGGCGGTAATGCGTTTTTCGGCGGGAACGACTTTGGCGGAGGCGGTAAAACCAAAAAACGGCGGTAATTTTCGGAGGTAACGCAATACGCCGGTAATTGTTTTGGCGGTAAGCGGCAACGCGTTTTTCGGCGGTATCGACTTTGGCGAAGGCGGTAAAACATAAAACGGCGGTAAAACGGCGGATTACCGGGACCGCCAACCACGGCGGTAATTTGACTGCGCATGTAAACCCTTGGAAATTTCTGACCATCTCCGGCTGAGCGTGCCGTCGGAGGACGACTTCATATTAGCCTTCGACACTGCCGGGGGAGGCGGGGTGAGGGAAATTCCTAGAAAATTATTTGTGTGAGAATTCTCTGAAATTTCTGACCGTCTCCGGCTGAGCGCGCTGTCGGAGGACGAATTCATGTCCGCCTTCGACTACGCCGGGGGAGGCGGGTGAATTTCCTGAGAAGTTTCTAACTTGCTTAATTTCTGACCACCTGGGGAGGAATCGCTCATTTAGTTCGTTAGAATTATGAAGTTTCTGACCATCTTGGAAAGTGAAGGTTGCTTGTTAGAATCGAGAATTTCCCAAATTCTTGGCCCTGGCGCATCAGGAAGTTTCGGGCTAGCTGCGGGTCCGCACTGCTGTATTTTTCTACTCCCCCTCCCGCCCTTGCTTGGTGATGTGAGAGCCTGGTCCGGCGAGAACCCGGCATGCCCCGTCCCGTCTTTGTAGGGATGCGAGGTCAATGGTCTAACTACTACGACATGCACGGCTACGAGCCCCCCCCCCCCCCC